GCAGGAAATGTCCAGGGAAGTAAAATCAGGTGGCATAAAAATAGTCCTTTACTACTTTTTAAACTTACATTTTATTACATTTATTTTCTGTGATTTATCTCCATGCTTTATATCTTAACCAAACTGAGGTAACCCCTATCTTGTATAATGTTCATTAGTTGTCTTTTTTCTCCAATGTTTTTCATCTGATTTTTTTCCTATCCAGTTGATTTTTGTGCATCCTGTGATATCCATTTCTAATTACTTGTATGAATTGAATTGTGAATTGAATTATGAATTAAGAATTGACATCATAGAACTCGGTACTAAGCACTCCATTACTATCTTCAGCAGCTAGCGAAGAATTCTAATTTCGATAGTACCAGTAACTGTCAGACTGTACATGTATCTCGCCTTTTCCTTGAGTGTTGAGCGTTGCCCCAAATCCCTGAGTAACTGCGCAGCACCATTTTCCTCAGACCGAAATGATCTATTTGAAACTCTGCACTGTTCACTAGCTCCCAAAGGGGCCTCACAACATCCAGCTTGTCATGAATCACCACCAAGTGGTGCAGAACTGGCCAGTCAATCTGCCTGCTCATTTCCTAATACACCAGCATAACCTGGAAAAAATATCCAAAGGGCGCTAACTTCTCGGAACCTCTGAAGCGATGCTTCACGGTGCATGCCTGTCTCCACCTTTCTTACTGATTATTATTTACAGAAACAACGTCATAGCACAACCCATAGAAGCTGCTCCGTCTCCCGCAGCAAATAACATGAGCTGTAGATGCTAAGTGTTTCACATAGAAACGCTGATTATACACACTTCGTTCTCTTCCCTTCCTTCCTTTCCATATCCATACCTGATTCCTCGTTCACACATTTTTACACATGTTATTTCATCTAACCTCGTGTGTTCTATCAGCAGTATCAGCAGTCATTTTGCCAGGGGCAAATATAGTGATATCTGTACCTCTCCATATCTCACCCAATGGTGGCACTTTGTGTCATGGGTATCGCAGATTTTTGTTAAAAATTCATTTTAGTGATAAAAAAATTTACAGATTTAGGTCATTTCGGGTAAATAAGTGACTTCAGAAACACAAAATAAAATGGGCCAGGCTTTGTAATTCTAGTGATTATTTATTTCTGTAATCTGGTGTTGATGTTAATTGATGTTGTAATACTGAAGTCATATTGATGCCCAATCAGACTGTTCATAATGACTACTTTGAAAAAAATATGATGACCAGACTAGGGCGGGGCTGTTCAGCTAGCGGCCTGCAGAGGCCTGTGAAGTGGTCCACAGGTCATTTAGATATTTTGTCTGTTTTTTCAAGTAGAATACTGTCCAAAAATGTATTTACTTCTGTTTCAAAAAAATTTTTTTTTACATAATATAAACAACCAAGATTTGTTTATCATAGACAAGAGAAACTTCATGTACAGGTATGAGAAATAGATAGCTATTTTAAATGTTATTTAGTAAGTCGGGATATAATTGTTTACACTTGGCTAGTTTCAATCATGCACGCACGCACACACACACACACACACACCCCACATGCACACGCACGCCTGCACGTGCACGCATGCACACACAATCTAAATTACCTCCCCCTTGATTGAGACTCGGGGGGAGGGGGGATGGGGATGAGGTCACTATTTTGTTCTTTCATCACTAACTTATTATCTGTACTTAACAGCAATACAAATATAAAAGAACATCTTTCAACAACTTTCTATCAGTTATGATAAATAATTGAGTAGTATTTCATTCTTCATCTCATACAATACTCTTAGGTGCAAAAAAATTATACCAGATTCATAGACCCCAGTCAGTTCAAAGGTGTACTTACACTATTGATTTCCCTTGTCTTGGACAAATTTCAGACATTATTTATAATTATCTAACATGAATAATTTTCTTGGAAAAGATTTATTTTATGAAGTGATTGTTACAAGTTAGTTACAGTTGAGATTCTGGTTTTCGCTGCATGGAAAATAATGGTGCAAGTTAGACACAGTTAGCAAGCAGGAACTAGATGTGTTTGCACTGTAGTTTATGGTTAACCTATGAGTAATATGTAAGTTATGTGTCACCAGAAAAATTATTCATTGATGCTCTTCTTTGTTCTCTGTAAAAGTAGAGGTGTGAACATATCGAACTGTTTAAGTTTATGCTGCAGTTTTTAATGCAAGAGAATTTTTGTTAAAACTTTGAAAGCATTTAGTCATAAGCTAAAACTGTCTTTTCTGTTGAGGATAAAAATATAATTATTTCACAGCCTAGACATTTTCTTGCTGGCCTCAAGTTCCTGGGCTTGAATCCACACTAGGTTAAATTTATAATGGACCTTCACTTCAAGGTGGACCCAATCTAAAATTGGTACTAGGAGGTTCTGGGAATTAAAGGAAGTGCGCATGATGTTTGGCACAACATACATCATATGCCCATCACACCCAAGAAAGAAGCGGCGTGTGTGCCCTATCGGGGGGTGGGGGGGGGGGGGGTTATTCCACCAAGAGTATCCTTATTTAGTATTTTGTGATGCCTGTCCACAAGTTCTGAATCCCCAGTCTAGAATTTCTTGTAGATGTGACTGCAGAGTCTGTTGTTTCCAGTGGCAGTCTAAATATAATGGTCTCTTTCTTTCATCTGAGAAAGTTGAATGGGTCTTTAGGATTGTGTCCTGGATAGGAAGTGTTTCAATGAATCAGATCTCTGGGTATTGATTTAAGAAACATTATCATAGCACAGTGGGCATTCCCGTAGATGCTCCAGTTCCTGCAGCCACTGTCTTATAGTGTAGATGCTAACTGAGTAGTGCACTGGTTGTACACATGTTGCACTCTCCTTCTCATTGTCCTTTCTTGTTGGATCCGCACTTAACTCCAAGGTCATGCAACCATTTGCATGTGGTTTTGGAAGTATTCTGTTGAAATAAAAAGTGGTTGTGTGTCCTTACCTGGTGTTGCAGAACCAACTCCAGCAGCATTTGACTATTTATGATATCAAGAGGCAGTTTTATGTTCACTAGTTTGCCAAAACTGAATAGTCGGCTCTCAGTACCGCTGGGGAAAACCAGTCCAAGGTGGTCTGCTGCTAAATCGTCTGCAGCTGAAATCGAACCAGGCACCTTGTAATTGTGAAGTGTGTCCCCAACATCTAAGCCACAGATGCCAGCTCTGTTAGAATACCTTTGACATTCTTTATGTTATAGTACATTTTTTACTATATGTTAAAATATTATTTTCAGCAGATAATTATTTTCTGTAATAGTTTGTGTTCACTCAAATGATATATATATATACATACATACATACATAAAATCTTTTCTGCATGTTAAAATATCATATTTATATTTTTAAATCATTTTTTAATTTATATAAATAAGCAGTTGTTCATTTCGTTGCATTTGGTTTAGCTTACAACAAATAACTTGCAACGTATAACTTAAGCTTATAACTTATTACCACATAAATAACAATATTATTGTTTTGTGTGCACTGCTCTGTTGGCTCCAGACTCTGTTAGCATGCTTCTATTTATTAGTGAATACTAATAGCATTTCATTATGTTGCACATTTTCAGTCATTTCTCCTTATATGCTGTTTCCTTATGTTTTAATCAGTATATACATAAGATTTTTTTGGGGGGTGTTTGTTGAATTTTTTAATGAAATGTAGTTATGTTTGCTATAACATGGAAGCCATGTTAGCACAATGGCTAGACACTTGAAAGTCTGAAGGTCTTGACTAATTGGCACCCATTAGATATATAAAGTGGTTCTTGAGAGACTTACTGACTCTTGTCGTTAGAGGGGTTAGACATGATAGCCGTCACCTTCATGTCGAGGACACTTTGGTGATACTGAAAACCAAAATGTACCAGCATTGGTTTGAGGGCACTTTGGTGATACTGAAAACCAAAATGTACCAGCATTGGTTTGAGGGCACTTTGGTGATACTGAAAACCAAAATGTACCAGCATTGGTTTGAGGGCACTTTGGTGATACTGAAAACCAAAATGTACCAGCATTGGTTTGAGGGCACTTTGGTGATACTGAAAACCAAAATGTACCAGCATTGGTTTGAGGGCACTTTAGTGATACTAAAAACAAAATGTACCAGCATTGGTTTGAGGGCACTGTTCTGCACATCAAAAAGATGAGACCTGAACTTGTTAGCTAGTTATAGACTCATTTTATCAATGGCTAGGGGGCTGCATGGTCTTGGGGCATGGTGTCCACCTCGAGTGTTAGAGATCCTGGGTTCAATCCCCGGTAAGAGTTAGGATTTTTTCACCTGGACTTGGATTTCTAGCAGCTCCCCCTAGTCTCTGGGTAGTGAGATCGGACGCCTGTGTGCATTGTTGCGCACGTAAAAAAATATCTTGGCAGTTGGAAATCGAAAAGAGTAGCCTAATGGCACTGCCCGGGCAAAAGTTAGAGTTGAATTTCTCTCAAAGTATTTCAGGATTTTTGCAGGTGCTACAGAGCCTGTGCACTGTGCTGAGCTTCTTCAGACTCATACTTGAGTTAGAAGAAGAACGGAGCACTTATGGGTTACTACCCGTGTGTCACGATGTTGATCCATTGTTCAAACCTCAAACCTTCAACAATGGCTTTACTTTATATGCTTTAACATTTCACCTTACTCCAAAAGCTCATTTACTTTATATGATTATTTAATGTAATTTAAATCTTATTAGCATATAATTTACATATTTACATAATATTAGCATTAACTCTTTTGCTTGAACTTCTGTGCTAGCTCTGGACTCTGTTAGTATGCTTTTTTAACATAGTTAATGAATTTTTGTGTAAACAATTTTTTTATATTTTATTTATAAATGTTTGTTCTTTGAGAATATTTATATTCCTGATATGAGATATTGAAAGAAATATGAGTCTTTAGTTTTGTTAATTATATAAGCATTTAAGTGCAGTATTTTCCTGTTTTTAACTTATGAATTCATTTAATAATGTGTTTTCTCCTTTCTTCTTTGCTGACAGTGACATGAAAAATTCTTTGAGTGATGCATCTTACAATGAAACCTTTAGTGCATCTTTGAGAGTAAGTATCTCTAAAACTAGTTTATTTTTTATAATTGTAATATTTTTATTTTGTAATCAGTATTTCTATGATTAAAGTAAAATTAGGCTGTACAATTTTGTTAGAGAAGGATCTAGTCTACAGTTTTATTGTTTAGTTCTTCTCCATCACTTCCTCCTTTACACCTTTGGGTGTCGCTGCTTTGACTATAGATATATCATGCTGTTGTAAAGTTATCTGGTTATCTTTCCATCTTGGTCTAACTTATGTTTTACGTCCCTCTCCTCTTTAGTGTTTGTTTTGTATGATACGGCGCCACAAGGCATTCTTTCTAATGGGCAAGCAATTTTATTTGTCCTGTTTGTATGTAATTTAATACTGGATCTGGTCTGACTTTTTATTTTGTGACTTTATTCCCCATGTTATCTCCTCTAGTCACTCCCACAGCTTTTCTCTGACATAACATTTTTTTTGTTACTAATTTTATTTTCTAGTTCCTTGTGAGTGACTATGTCAGTTGTTGAAAATAATAGCAGCCACTGATTTTATACAACTGGTTACATGACTTGACTATTTATCACCAGGCTGTGCTTGGAGAAGGAATGGCAATGATGGGTGCTGATATTTTACCAGACCAGGAGAGTGCTCAAGATTTGTCCATGAAGACAACAGGGCATGATGAATTTGGCAATGGGTAAGATAACTCAAACAGTTAGTTCCACATTGCATATGATGAGAAAACTTAAAGTAAACTTTACTTTAGACACAAATGCTGAATCTGGTGAGAAACAGCTGTCTAAACAGTTAAGAATGCTAGGCTTTCATGCGGAGATCTGGATTTGAATCCTCAGTAAGACAGTGGAATCTGGTGAGAAACAGCTGTCTAAACAGTTAAGAATGCTAGGCTTTCATGCGGAGATCTGGATTTGAATCCTCAGTAAGACAGTGGAATCTGGTGAGAAACAGCTGTCTAAACAGTTAAGAATGCTAGGCTTTCATGTGGAGACCTAGATTTGAATCCTCAGTAAGACAGTGGATTTGCACAGGCTGTGATGAGAGCACTAGCTGTGTGGCTCTGAATACTGGGGCTCGAAGATCTCCCTGCCTACACCACAAAAATGATTAATACACACAGCAGTGGTGGTTCTGGTGCATCTGGCTTATGGAGCTAGACACATAATATTACTGATCTTTTTGCTTCTGATGGGTGATATGGTCATCAGCCTGTCACCTTTGTTTTGCATGTCATTTCCTATGACCTGTTTTAAACTGGGTCAACCTGGGAACCAAGGTATATTATTTAAAAATCCAACTCAATGAGGATTTATCCCAAGACCTTCAGGGAGGCAGGCAAGTGTCTAACCAATGTTATAATATAACTCACAGGTGTGGAAGTTGAAAGAAATTACTTAGTGGGGAAAAGGTATATACAATGTTGTGTTTAGACACATGTTTGTATGATTATTTGTAAGTATCTGATGATTAAATGACTCCCTATAAATAAAATAAGAAACAGTGAGAGTTTAGGACTGCGTCCTATTCACACAGGACCGCAGGTTACACTGGGCTGGTATGGTCATTAGGGGTGCCCTGATTTTAGCTTCTTTAGAGCTTTAACGGGGTGTCTGTGATCTCCCTTGATGATCTGCTGGTGTGGACATACCTTTTGATCAATTGTTTATGACTGCTTACCTGTTGGCTGTGGGTTCAAGGGAATTCACTTTGAATTTGTTTCCAATGACCACAAGACTCCAAGAGTGAGCTAGCTGAACAAAATTAGGAATATAACATTTGTATGGGAGGTAAAAACAATTAGTGTGATACCTACCACATCATTTGTCAAGCATTGTTTGCTCAAACACGTGTGGCTTAACACCATATACCCTACTTATGTATTGCAAGGGCCCACTGTTGAAGCAAAGAATAGTAATATATGACCTTTCATGTGTGTCCTAGGAGGCAACTAAAGGAACAGTTCTACAAAGACTTGACATGAGGTGGTTGACAGTCTATTCTCCATTGTTAGATTATTTTTTTTTAAAGCAGATGAAGAAAAAGAATAGTGTTCCCCATGTGTCATGAGGATATGTAAACAAGTGACTGCTTTGACTTTTTACCCCAATAAATATTTCACTTGTTATAATAAAATGCTTCTTCTTCTATGATTTCCCTTGAAAGAGCTGTTGGAACATTGTGTACTGGTTTACAGTTTGGTTGCAATAGCTACACATTTGACTCAAAACATCCAATCTTAGGAAACCCTTAATTATCACCTTTTAGGACATGCTTGTTAATGCGTTGTTTGTTGTCCCTTTATAGACCCAGAACACACATAGAGATGTTATAATAAATTAGTTTCTATGGTACTTTTTTTTTTTGCAGGGAATTTGATGAAGCCGAACTTATGATGAGAATCAAACAAGAAGTTCAAGAAGTGTACCCTGATTTGGTCTTCAGCAATCCTCGCCCACTATCTCCTGGCAATCCTTGTTCGCCTCGGCAGGAAGATCATGATCCGAGAGGAATTGAGGTCAAAGGTGGACAGATGGTGATGATACCAGAAGTGATGGACCATTTTGACAGCAGGCAGAATCAGGTTGAAGAAGATAAGAAGGATGAAGAAGTTGAAGATAGTAATGCTGACATGTGTCCTGAATATGATGAAGACTGTAGCAGAGAACAAGAGGAGAAGCAACATTTTGAAGATGGGGATGACGATGATGAATGTGATATGTCTAGGCCAAGGAGTGAAGTTGAAGCAGAGCATGAGCTCAGAACAGTACAAGAAAAGTTGCAACATGACCAAGAAGACGTCAAGAAAGATTACTATGGTTTAGAAAATGGGTTCAGATCCCTAGGAGAGAGAAAGTTTAATGCCCCTCAACATTATATGTTGATGCCCCCAAGTTTCTCACCTCTCAGTATAACTGATAATGAACAACGACAGTTCACAAATAATCAAAATTATCTGGCACGATCCCTTTCTCGTGATTATGGGGAAGACAGAGCCTCTGGCCAGCATGCACATTTAGATGCCTCTTTTTTCACAATAGAAAATCAGAACAGTAAAAACATGAATGTTCAAGAAAATGATAACAAGGATGGCATTGGTCACAGGCCAGATAATTCAGTGACAAGACCATTTGTAGTTCAGTTACCAGACTCAGGACCAGTCTTTGCTTCGTCTCATCGACAGAATGTCCCTTGTCAAACATCATCAATTGACATTGCTGTTTCTGCACCATCATAAATAATAACATAATTCATAACAACATTGACTGTTTATACTGCATATAATAATGTAATTTGACACAAATGTTTATGATTCTGTTTTACTGTACATTTTACATCTTTGTATTTAAAGCAATAAATATGTAAATATATTATTTTTACTGTTTAAAATTAGCTGATTCTAGGGAATATGTGCATATGTCTGTTAATTAATCATATATGAAAAATACTTATTCTGTAGATAACTACAAATTAACATGTTCATGTAAAAAAATGTTTTTATTACACTCCTATAGATAATATTTGTTTAACAGTTATTTTAATTTGAAACAGAAATGTTTATTTAGGTCCCAAGGATTCTGTTTGGGATAGAAACCAATTGTTGCTACCATCCATAACTCCACCGCTGTATTTGTTCATGTACATTTTGACAAAAATATGCATTTGTTGTCACATTATACATGTGTGTTTTGTAAATAAATCTCCCTGTGTGGGTTCTGGGACCCCTATTGTGGGGAAAGCAAGAATAGACTCACTGCCTCCACAACCAGCATGTCGTAAATGGGTGCTTCCTCCAAAGTCGGAGTGCATCTGCCTGAGAGGCAAGGAACCAGCAATGTGCATACAAGTACGTCAGATCTGTTAAAGGGATCTGCATGCAACATTCAGGTTTTAAAACAAGACTAATGTCCAAAGGTGGACGAACAACCATAACTTTCCAACGGAGTTTACAGCCAGTAAATGCGAAGAAAAAAGCAGTAAATATATCAGCCACATTTTTATGTTATTAATATAATACCTAAAATATTTTATTTCACGCATTACCCCCAAATTACACCACACTAAAAAGTGATAAATACAGACAGTAGAGACTCTTTAAACCCCAAGCACAAGTTACTACAAGACTTTCCTTTCCAACCTCTATATATATTAGAGTATATATTGGAGTCTTCATTAGAGTGTAAATCTTTAAGTTTGTATGAGTTAAAACAATACACTTAGGGAATAGAGCTAATTAAAATAACAAATGTAATATAATTGTTTATTGTAATAGAAGACAGGGTCAAAATACATGAAGACACTGGTATGAATTATAATCAAGGAGCATGTTGTGAGTTAGCACTGAAAGAGTTAAGTATAATCAGTAATGTTTTATAATTGTTATTTGTCAGATGACAAGTTATGAGTTGTGTGTCCTTTACATGGGTATTCAACATTTCATTCATAATTCAGATGGCTAGTTTAGGATAGCCATGTGACTAAGGTGACCCATTGAAACCAAATCCCAGAATTGCTTCAGTGCAATGAATCATAAAAGCTATAGATTGAATTTGCTCAGTTTGTAAAAGAAAAGACAACAGACACTGGTATTTGTGAAATCTAGAATTCTGCTTTAGAATTTATTTGTCTAATATTACATCATTAGGACTTTTCACTGTTTTCTTTTAAACATCTTATCTTTCTCCCCTGTTTTCCTTCTTCTTATTCATCTTCTGTTTCTTTAACATGTAAAGGCTGATAAGAGGAGAGTCATAGATGGCTCAGGTTGGGGACATGATTTGACAGGTTCATGGCACTCCAGACACCTCCACAGTTTCACTGAGTATATGTTTAAGTTGTTTATCTGCAGGACGTCTACCTGTTTGTACAATAGATTTCATAAATTTTAATTTTTTAAATATAATGATGAAACACACTAGTGGATACAATTTGTAAATGTTATTATGTAGAATTTTTGTTGTTGTAAATATTACTTTTGGCCTGACTTTTATAGAAATGTATGATTGTTAAAATTATGTGGAATGTTAATAGATACGAATTGAATTATAGTTATTGAAACTATATTTGTCAAAAAACAGTGATTATTAAATGCAACTTCAATTGGTAAAACTTTCTGTTTTATGCACCTCATTACAGTAACTACTAGTAATTCTGCACAATTTATTTCAAACTTTTTTGCAAAATAAATGTAATCAAACTTATGCCATTGGAGCGTGTAAATATTTCTGTTTAAATGGGTACTAACAAAAACTGGTTGTTTAATATACTTTATATCTGCAGCAAGATAAAAGTCACATAAAATATGAGACTTTTATATTTAAAATTGCTTTTAATTGTCACGTGTTATTTTTATTGACTTTTTAAATAATTTTACACAATTTCGCTTCAGGTTTGTAAATGACAATCAAAGCTGCTTTCTTCTTTCTTCCTATTTTTTTCCTAGTCTTTCTTTTATCTCTAAATCATCTCAGCTATGTAATATGTTAACTGTATTTTCCCTGTACCTATTTCACTGTACATCTTCAATGCTTTATCTGCCTGTATATAAAGTGCAGAGATGACATAAACTAGTCATTAGGGATGGCATTACAATGACATTATAAAAGTCCATTTGAAACTGAAAGTATTTGGTGCTGCCAAACTAGTCTATGTGCCCCTCCCAAAAAAATTGCTATTATAAGTTCTGTTTTTTTCACTCACTTGTGTACTTAAGCCTTGTTCCAGAACTTAGGTTTTATGCGCACATCTATTTCACAGGTTTGGTTTATTTGTATGCAGACTGCTGGTTTCTTGTCTCTCATGCAGATGCACTCTGACTTCGAAGGAAGCCTTCAACTTAGAAGGAAATACTCTAATTAGTCATGTTTTGTGTTATGCAGATCTGTTAGTCATTAAAAAAAAAATTGACTTAGTCTATGACTGAGAAGCAAAGAAGACTATTGGCAGAAGTAATTTCTTCTACTTCCTTTTTGTGTTCACCAGCTGTAAACTGAGATGTAAAATATTTATTTGTCAACCTCTGGACTGAGATGGTTAAACTAGGGGTACCTTATAAATACATCATGAACTACCTTAGTGTACCCTCTTTACACTAGGTGTACCTTATAGCTACATCATGAATTAACTACCCTGTTGTATCCTCTTTACACTAGGTGTACCTTATAGCTACATCATGAACTACCTTCGTGTATCCTCTTTACACTAGGTGTACCTTATAGCTACATCATGAACTACCTTGTTGTATCCTCTTTACACTAAGTGTAGGCTACATCATGAACTACCTTGTGTACCTTTTAACTAGGTGTACCTTATCACATCATGAACTACCTTGTGTTGTATCCTCTTTACACTACCTTATAGCTACATCATAAACTACCTTGTTGTATCCTCTTTACACTAGGTGTACCTTATAGCTACATCATGAACTACCTTGTTGTATCCTCTTTACACTAAGGGTACCTTATAGCTACATCATGAACTACCTTGTTGTATCCTCTTTACACTAGTGTACCTTATAGCTACATCATGAACTACCTTGTTGTATCCTCTTTACACTAGGTGTACCTTATAGCTACATCATAAACTATCTTGTTGTATCCTCTTTACACTAAGGGTACCTTATAGCTACACCATAAACTACCTTGTTGTATCCTTTTTACACTAGGTGTACCTTATAGCTACATCATGAACTACCTTGTTGTATCCTCTTTACACTAAGGGTACCTAATAGCTACATCATGAACTACCTTGTTGTACCCTCTTTACACTAGGGGTACCTAATAGCTACATCATGAACTACCTTGGTGTACCCTCTTTACACTAGAGGTACCTTATAGCTACTTTATGAACTACCTTGGTGTACCTCTTTACACTAGGGGTACCTTTACATCATGGATTGGTATATTAACTAGGCAATTCACATCAGGAACTACTTTGGTGTACCCTCTTTACACTAGGGGTACCTAATAGCTACATCATGAATACCTTTGTAGTTTACACAAGATTAAGAATACTACTTTATGAACTACCTTGGTGTACCCTCTTGTCCTTTATTCGGGATTTATATTAAAGGCAATTCATAAGCCCTGTTTTCACATAGTAAATATGAATTTTAAGTTTCGTATTAAGAATACCATTTTATAGATACCATGAATGACACGCAGAGTTATAAATAAATCAAGAAATGATGGTTTTTTTTTTTTTTTAATTTAGCGTTGGCACATATTTTTCATTCCTTCTATGTGCACATTCTGTTAAAGTTACATTTTTTTAAAATGTAGTGAGAGATTTAAAAGTGTGGCTGGGATTTCATTGCAAAGTTGAATGGACATTTTTTAAACAAAGAGAGAACCTCATATATAATGTCACAACGTCTAGTATGAGAATAGAGCCGGAGTCAGTAACAGGAGTTATTTGGTGCCTGACTACAGCCTATCCAGTAACTGTAACAGACTCACAGAGCATGATTTGGAAAACAGAAACAAATGTCCAACAAATAGAACAGCTTGCATTGTTTGATATGACTCAGATCATAAACAGAAACATAACATAGAACATTCCGCCCATGTCATTCTGAAGAGTGGGGCAATGAGCAGGCTGATAGGTTGGCTGCTGCTGTTCCTCTAGATGGTGAGCTATTTTATAATAAAACAGGCTGGGAAAAGGACAGGCATACTTTTATTCAGGTTGCACCTGGCACTGTCAATATGGGAACACTTCATTGACTACTCAGGAAGGGGACAGAGTACGTGAGAGAATGCCCTGAGTGTAGTGACATTAGCTTTTTATTCATTTTCTATGTGTAGGGTGGCCATAATATCTTGAGCTAAAAACGAGACATCCCAAGCAAGTCACTTTAACAGGACTGTATGTGTCTGTGTTGTGTGTGTGTGTCTTAGTTTTAGTTGAGGTTTTAACTTAATTGCAATTAGGTCACCCCATACTTGCTCCACTCCTGTGCCAGTGAAAATAAAATAAAATTTTCCCCACTGTCCACTTTAAAAAAAGAAAACAAAACTGCTGAACAAACAATTAGACCCGGCACAATTCAGAAATATGGGCTTGCAGTGAATATATATGGCAGTTGCTAGAGGTGCCAAAGCCAACAGTCACCACCAGAAATGCAGTTTATCGTTGATGGAAGTGGTTGAGCATGATAAGTTGGCTATACAAACATAGAATTATTACATATATATAAAATATTTCACCAGCCCACATGTAAACTGACTGAGTGTGTGT